TTCTCCTGCTTGGGTCGCTGGGTTTGCCGGAAGGGCCTGGGAAGAGGGAACATAAAATCGCTCAGGGAGCCATTGGAGCAGGTGATGTGGCTCCCAGTGCAGGACTGTGGGGTTGGGACAGGCAGGGTGAGCCGGGCTGAGCCTGGGGCAGGCGACCAGGGCCCTGCCCCCAGTTCCCAGCCCTTTCTGTGTAGCTGAACTGGCAGCTTCCGCCTATGAAGAAAGCTCCAGCTGAGGCAGGGCTGTGGGGCCCAGGGCCCTGGAAAGCTGCAGGCCAGTGGGGTCTCATTTAGCCAGCTGCACATTTGATTAATCACCCTCGTCCTGGGAGCCTGCTAATCTGGAAGCTGGCTTTGTAGCTGACTCCTCTGCTCACTCGCTGGTGGCTGGAGGGAGCTGGAGCCTGGGCTGGTGCTGGGGCTGAGGCAGGAGCTGTGGCAGGGGCTGTGGCTGGGACTGGGGCAGGGGCAGGGGCAGGGGCAGGGGCTGGGGCTGGGGCTGGACTGGGGCTGGGGCTGGGACTGGGACTGGGGCTGGGACTGGGGCTGGGGCAGGGGCTGGGGCTGGGGCTGGGGCTGGGACTGGGGCAGGGGCAGGGGCAGGGGCTGGGGCTGGGGCTGGGGCTGGACTGGGGCTGGGGCTGGGACTGGGACTGGGGCTGGGGCTGGGACTGGGGCTGGGGCAGGGGCTGAGGCTGGGCTGGGGCTGGGGCTGGGGCTGGGACTGGGGCTGGGGCTGGTTCAGAGTCAGGGTCAGGGGGTCAGGGTCAGGGTCAGGGGCTGGGGCTGGGGCTGGGGCTGGACTGGGGCTGGGACTGGCCTGGGCTGGGAGGTCAGTTTCCACTGTGCTGGCTCCACACTCACCTTGTCAATACAAGCTCCTTTGTGCCCAGGTTGGTGGCCTCACCAGCCCCTGCCACGCGGATGCCGGCTCAGGCTTTACGGCAGGAGAAACCAAGCCTGAGGAAACATGGGTCCGTCAAGGCCTCAGGACTCTTCTCACCAGTGCCCTGTGCATGCCCCCCTTTTCCAAACCCCTGACCCCCGCTGCTCAGCCCCTGACTTGTAGCAGCCTGTCTGCCTCGATGACTCCCTACTTCAGGGAGTTGCCCCGGCCATCCCAGCAGCCCTGGCTGGCGAAAGCTCCCGACCCCCATCCAATAGGGGCACAGGTGAGGTCACGGGAAGAGCCCTCATCAGAATTGGGGTGTCAAGGGACTAGAGCTAACCATTGGGTGAGTGACTTTATCCTTGTGAACCTCAGTGTCCTTGTCTGTGAAGGGGCCTCTTCTACGCAGCCGTGGGGTCACAGTGGTCTAACGGTGGGGGCCACGGGGCACAGGGGAGCCCAAGGACAGCCCCTCCTGCTTACATGACTGCGCCCACACTCCTGGACTGGCTCTCACCTCCCTTCTAAAATTCTTCCCCCACCCGGTACATACCCATGTGAATCCCACACACGAACACCTCAACCACTCCCTTCTGACCCCTTCCTGGGAGACCTGGGGTCCTTGGAGAGGCTGCAGATACATTTCTAGGGGAACTCACAGTCAAGTTCAGGAGAGACGGCCTTATCGGGCCCCAGGATCTGGACTCTAGATCTGAGCTTGGGTTCAGGCTGGAGGTGAGGCCTCTACATTGCTTATCATGTCCCAGGCCCAGTTCAGCCACTGCGGTGCCATCCCCCGGCCCAGGACACCCCGCCTGGGAAGCAGAAAAGGCAGGGGGTGGGGATAGGGGGAGGCTGCAGCATGGTAGAGGGCAACCTCCCACTGGACAGGTGTGAATATGCAAGGCCCTAAGCACACAGAGCGGCGGCAGAGAAAGGCTTGGACTCCTGGCACCAAGGGGCTCCTTCTGCCTGCAGAGCCTGGGGGCTCAGACAGAGCTGCTGACTTGCTGAGCTCTCAGAGGGGCGTGGTGTGGGGGCCCCAGCCCCAGCCCCAGCCCCAGCCCCAGCCCCAGCCCCAGCCCCTGACCCTGACCCTGACCCTGACCCTGACTCTGAACCAGCCCCAGCCCCAGCCCCAGCCCCAGCCCAGCCCCAGCCCCTGGGCGTGGTGTGGGGGCCTCCACTTCTCAGATTCCAGCCTCACTGTGGATATAGGGAGCTTTACTGCTCCTGGGGGTTTGGGCTTAGGTCTGTTTCTGAGGTTCCCAAGGCAGATGGGGAGGGCGGAGAAGGCAGATGGGGGGGGTTTGAGGGCATTTGAGAGGGAAGGGAAGGGGCCTTCGCTGAACCTGACCCTGTGCTGGTCCTTAGGACCCACAGCTGACCTGTGAGGACAGAGGTCCTGAAGATTGAGGTTTCCGGAAAGAGTTGAGACCTCATGGAAGAGATGGCCCCAGGGTTGGTTTCCAGCCGCGCCCCCTCTCCCCTCCCCCCGCCCCCCTGCAGGCCACAGAGAGTCTGAAAGAGGGAAGTGGGAGGAAGAACAGGTAAAGGTGTGCAGGCTGTGCCGTGAGTGCAGATCCGGAAACAGTGACCCGGCGGGTGCAGGGTGAGCAGGAGGGGCGGCGGGACACAGGCCTGGGGACACACACGGCAGCTGTACGGCGGGGCTTGCTTGCCAGGCTGGGAATTTGATGATGGGATGCCCCTGGAGTGCCAGCTCTAGAAAGATGAATCTGGAGAAGCCAGAGGCAGAGAAATTCAACAGACCAATGCCAATGCCAGGGAGGTATCTGTTGATGACAGCAGGTACCCTCTGCTGCAGGCGGGTGTGCAAATCAGGAGGTGCACCTCCCTGGAAAGCAAGCAGGCGGTGACATCGGGGCCTTAGGTTTCTGTCCTTTGACTCAGGAGTCTCCTTCAGTGGATGTATTTGTTGTTGTTGTTAATTCTCATCTGAAAATATTTTTTCCATTGATTTTGTTAACGTAAAAAAAAACATTGAAACCTGTAAAGAATTTTTGTGAGTTTATTTGAGCCAAACTGTCGACATATGCCGGGAAGCAGAACCTCAATGAATTGAGATAGTGCTCCGGAGAATGGAGGGGTTACATTTGTATTTATACATTTGCAATCAAAGGAGGAATGTAGGTGGGTTACATGGAATTCATTAGTGATAGATTAAGGAGGTGGGATTAAGCAAAGCGGGGGCGGGGGGGGGGGGGGAACCCCTGGTGATTGGATAAAAAGTAAAATGATGGACACATATACTTAGGTGGGTGCAGGATCAATCAACATGATAATGAAGGAATTTGTAGTATCTGCCCTGGCGCCCAGAACATTTGGTTATGCCCCAGGGGCTCCAGAAAAAGGGAAGTTACAAGTTACCCAGACATTTCAAAGGGTATGTTATCTTAGAGGCAAAAAGGCAAATGGGCTCAGTAAGGATCAAAGTTGATCTTGTCAGTGAAGATAGCGGCCTAGGACGTAACTGCCCACCATAACTGCTTTTAGTTAAAGTTTAATTTCAGACCATCCTTTGTGGTTATTTTAGGTCTCTGAGTCTGCTAGGCTGCCATGCAGGCCTTCCCTGAGCTTGTCAGGTCAGCGTGTGGCCCCTTTCGTCCACAATTTTTAGAGAGAGTGGAGGGGAAGGCTGAGCCCACAGAGCAGAGAGAGAGAACCATTGATGTGAGAGAGACACATCAATTGGTTGCCTCCCACACTCGCCCCAACTAGAGCTGGGGATTGAACTTGCAACCCAAGTATGTGCCCTTGACTGGGAATCGAACCCGAGACCCTCCAGTGCACGGGCTGATGCTCTAACCACTTAGTGACACCAGCCAGGGCTCGGTGGATATACTTTAAGGAAATCCCAGGAAATGCTGAAAGAGCTCCTATCACAAAGATGTTCATTGCAACAACAATTACAATGGTGCAATTTAGAAACTTCCCACCAATGGGATAATGTTAAAGTCAAGCACGATACATCATCTCAATTGCTGATTATATAGCCATTGGAATGTTGTTTTTAAGGATTGGGAGCTATTTATGCTTCAACTTGAAGTACAGAAGTGTATTTTGTGCTTCTTTATCATGTACGATGCCTTCCATGAGCCAGCCATCGACCTATTTATTGGAAATACAGAGCTAATATGATGGGAAAAACAGGAAGGAATGACATAGAATGGGATCAGTGGTTTTCTGCCAGTGATGGGATTATAAGGAATCTTTTCCTTATTAAGGTTTGTTAGTGTTTCCCAAATGTTCAGTAAGAAGCTTGTATTACTTTATAATTATAGAAAAAAGCGCTCTGCAGTAAAAGGAAGAAGCTATTCTGAGAAGCCAGAATGGAGTTCTGTATTTGGGTAGCATGCGTCTGTGTGTCGGAGGAGAGGGGCTTGTTTCATTCAATTATTTCACAAATACTGAGAAGCACTGTCCTAGGCCTGACCTCTCCTGCGCCCCCCGCCCCCCCCCCTCCCCATGAACAACACGGAAATGCCTCCCATTGTGGAATCTACCCCTTGAGAAGGGGGAGGGCGTGTTGAGGAGATTAGAAGGCAGACACCAACTCCCAGCCAGGGGAGGAAGTGGTGCCTTCGCTGAGGTGGGGCCTTGGGCAGAGCCAGCGCCGGGACCCTCGGGCGGCGGGTGGCGTGGTGAGGGTGTGCAGCCTGGAAGCATCAGAGCTGATGTCTGGGAGGCGGCAGGAGATCTGGATCAAACAGTAGGAAGAGGGGCCTGGACTAGAGGCAGAGACTTGGCAGTTGTCTGCAGGTAAGTAAGTGTACAGGGGGCAACGCCAGGGAGGCAGGTGCTGTGTGACAGTGGGGAGAGGAAGTTCCAGAGAAGAAGGCCCAGGAGGAAGGTGGCCAGTCCCCTGCCCCCCCTTGGTCCCCAGGCAATGATGCGCTTGCTTTGTCTGGATAAAGAACCCAGAGCTGAGTGGGACAGGGTGGGGCAGGGCCTGAGGGGCTGGGAGAGTCTGCCCACCCCCAGCTCAGGAGGGGGACATTGAATGGAGGGGCAGGAGCAGCCATAGTGACCTCCCAGTGTCTGGCCAGCAGTGATGGGATGTCTGCTCATGGCTCTTTCTTTTTCTGCAGGAGAAGGGAGCGCGCCCTGCACGTCCAGCGTCCTGCAGGAGAAGCAGAGTGAGTTACGTCCCCCAGCCTGCACACCCCCACCCCAATCTTTCCTTTCCTTGGATGGGTCCAAGCTCCATGGGCCTGGGGCCTCTTGTCTACTCACAGCCCAGGGGCTGGTAGGGTCTTTGTCACTGTGCCGGTGGGCAGGATCAGAGGGCCTGGGGCCGCTCTCTGCCCCATGAGCTGAGCCCTGGGTTCTGAGTTCCCACACACACTGTGCAGCTGGGCTTCAGAGCCAGAGGGACAGACTGAGGCTGGGGCTGGGAGGCTGAGCCCACAGAGCAGATGGGACCTGGGGAAGCCTCGTGCGTTGTTTGCATGTGGGAGGAGAGAGAGGGGGGACGGGAATGGGGAGCAAGGCTTCCTGAGCCTTTAATACTGTCTCCTTCGGGTAACACAACTACCAGGAACTCCAGACGGTGACGTGGTGACTGGGGTCAGAGGCCCTCAGTCAAGGGCTATGCCAGGGCATGAGCGGTGCATCCATCCCTCAGAGGCCATGCCTGCAGGGCCCGGGCCTGCCGAGGCCTTGTCATCCTTCTGAGTGGACAGGCTCCTCCAGGCTCCCTTCTGCCTGTGTTTTCTCCGGGAAATGAGCAGAGGATTCGACCAGGAAAGACTTGGTAAAGATGTCCATTTGCTGACAACGTAACCTCAGGACATAGTGCCTGGAGGTGTGGGGTGATCTTGGTGGGCACTGTCTGAGCCACATGTCTTTGTTCTGGGCAGCATTGAGTTTCCCACGAGGCCGGGGGCAGGGAGAGGAGCCTGTATGTGTTTGGGAGGAGGGTATATATGCTCAGAACTCCCCTCCTTCTCTCTCCTGCTATTTTGATCCGTGGTTGCAGCTTTGGGGGTGTGGGGAGGGAAAATTAATTCCCTTCTACCCTTCTAAGTTCTTGTAGCTGGACTAATGATGAAATGGACATGAAACAGATGAACAGGAAAAAATGACCAAATGGATTACATATGTGCTCATAGGGCTCCCTAAGGACACACTGGACTCAGGAGATGGAGGCAGGGGTCTGGGACTTCAAAAGACAGGGAGGCAATTCACAGGTAGATGAGGAAGAGTAAACCTGTGGCAAACAAATGCTTGCTGGGCCCAATGGACCACAGAGGGGCTGTGCAGGCTCCTCCTGTCCCCCACTCAGTTCATATTGTGCTGAGGTGACAGGCTTCTTCTTGTGGCAGGTTTTCTGCCCAATCCCTTTAGTCAGGTGAGAGGGAGGGAAAGACTTTTTCTGAGTCTTTTGTTTCTTAAAAATAACCAGCTTAGAATAATATCGCAAAAGGCGTATTTTGGGGTGGTAAGCTCTGCTGTTCTTCAAGGGGCTCAGCCCGCTCTGCCTCCCCGTTCCGCAGGCACAAGCCTTCCTTGAGGCCTCCCTCCAACCTCTTCCATCCCCATGCAGGTCAGGTACCTGCAATGCCAGCTTCCCAGGGCCCGGCTCCAGCTCCAGCAGGTGCGCAGGCCTCCCGAGAAGCTTTCTATGGTCTATCATGCAGTGGCGATGCAAGACAGAGCCCCTCGGGGCTGGGAGGCATCGCGTCTGTCAGGGGCAACCCCGAGACGCAGGCCACAGTGCACTGGGGGGTGGGGAGGGGAGGGCAGTGCAGGGAGGGGTCACTTGCCCTTTTCTGTGTCCTCACTGAATGTAAGGGACTGAGCTCAGCAAGGTGAGGGGAGCTGTGTTAAAATGCACCCCGGGATTTTAACTTATAGACGTGACTGAGTGGCAAATCAGAAATCAATGCCATTGAAAAACCTTATTATTTACAGTTCGCAAGTGGAGGGGCCACGCCACCCCATGCCCCGCAGGGCCACAGGGGGAGCAGGCAGGTTTGATCGGGAGGCAGGAGGAGGGGAAGCCTGTGCGGAACCTCTTGTATTTTCTGAGGGGAGGAAGGCAGGGCAGAGAAAACCTCGTAGGACTGACTGGTTCCAAAAGTGTCTGCGGCTCCGGCCTCCAGGGCTAGTCTCTAGTCTGCTCCCTGGCCCTGGGGGATTCAGGGCAGGGAAATACGGGCTTGGTGTGAGAGTTAGATAAAGGGGGTGGATTGGTTGGTTTGCATATGACAGGCGAAGGCCAGTTTACTGTGTCCAGGAATTGGCATGCCCAGCTAGGCACCCCCAAGATGTCAAAACAACATAAAATGAAAAAAAAAAACAACCCAAAACATGATTAGTATGGGGATGTTGGGAACCTGAGAGAGGAAAAGGGCCCAGATCATTCCTTCTGGGCCTCAAGGACAGGAAACCACAGCCAAACCACGAATCGACCAGATGTGTGGTGTCTTCTAGAACTGGCTAAGAAACATGTGTGTATAAGCTTATTTTTTCAACATAAGTATAGATTGTGGTCAGAATTATGCTGCTTAAGGATATTATTTTTTTAAACACATTTTTATTGATTTCAGAGAGGAAGGGAGAGAGATAGAGAGATAGAAACATCAATGATGAGAGGGAATCATTGATCGGCTGTCTACCTGGATGTGCCCTTGACGGGAATCAAACCCAGACCCTTCAGTCTGCAGGCCGATGCTCTATCCACTGAAGCAAACCAGCTGGGGCTGGAATATTCTTATTTAGTGGAGAATAACAGTAGGTGATGGAAGAATTCCGGAGCTGAAATGCTCGCTGAAGTCAGTGATTCCCAGGACAGACCTATTTTGACAGTGAAAAAACAGCAACACTGTTAAATGTTTTTCCATTCATTTGGGAGAACTGTTTTTTATTCCACAATTGCATCCTGCCTACAAATTTGTGCATTCTAATACTTTCTCTTTTATAAAATGATGGAGGTAATTGATGGTGATTTGTTCATTTTGAACCCCAAAATTGGCAACATAAAAGTTTGCGACCCTTAATAAAAACAGAATAACAGCAATGCCTGATGTTTACAATGTGATTTGCCATTTACAGTCACATCCATGTATATTATTGTAATTTCCACTTGGTTTTTAAAACCTCACTATAAACAAGGTGGGAAGTGCCACAAATTGCCCTGGACCAGGAACCAGAAAACCTGGGGCTGGGTTAAAGCCTGTGGCCTTAAATCCTAGCATCTGAGCTATAACGGACGGTATTGACCTTGGGGCTGAGGCCCAGCTCCTTCATTTGCTCGCTGTGCCACTTTGGACAAGTTATCTAACATCTCTGCGCCTCAGTTTACTCAGTTGTGGAAAGATGACCACAATGGCTACTTCCTAGATTTGCTGATTGGGTGGAGATAATATATGTGGGTGCCACGATCTGCACCTCTCACGGAGGAAGGGTTCCTGGCGGGGTGCCTGCTGAGTCCCCTCCTGTAACTGGTAGAAGTGGAGCTCTTGCATTTCCTGAGGCTCCCACGGGAGGATGGGAGATCGTGGAAAGCTTCATTGATGATGTAAGATGAAAGGGGTTCCCCCCCAAGGTCCCATCTCCCTCGGTCTTGCCTTGGACACAGTCCAGCTGTGTCTTCAGCTGGGCAAGGACTAAAGCCACTGCCCAGCGTTCCCACTGCACGGTAAAGCACAGTGCAGTCCCGCATCTGGCTAGCTTAGCTCATGTTCCCAGCTGCAGTGCATTGGGCGTGGGGTCCACAGGGCTATGGGCCATGTGGTTGCTAAGGCCACGTGATGGGCTAGTGCACGGGTGAGTGCAGGACACAGAGCAAGAGACTGCAAGGAAGCAGGAGAGAAGCAAGAGAGAATAAGAGAGAGAGAATTCCTTTGTCTGGAGATTAGGTATTCCCAAATTCTCATGGGCTTGCACTGGGGTCCACCCTCCTAGCCAGTGATCTTTATTCCAGGTTAGACAGACAGGCAAGCACCTTCCCTACTTCACCCTGACTTCGTGGCCCATGTGCCCATTTCCCGCTCTGTTTGACCCCTTCCCCCAGTGGTCTGCAGGGAATGGATTGGTGGTGGTTCCCTAGGGGGTGTGACGTTGCAGCTTCCTGGTGAAGCTGCCCAGATGACCATGCTGATCATGTCTGGCTTCCCCGTTGCTTTCTGCCTATTATGAATATTGGCTAGCTAATTATGACAGTGACAGAAGCACTTAATGGTTCTCACTTAGTATTGGCTTTTGGATGAGCCTTGGCAACTGGAACACCTGGCACAGGTGTGGGATGAAGCTCATCACCTCACGGAGCTGTCTTTTTGACACTGCTGGTCCTGTGGCTGTCTCGGTTGTTACTGGCTGAGTGTTTCCTCATGAGTCTGAGTCCCAGGGAGTCCTCCTGCACCTGCCGCAGGAAGTGTGAGTGCAGGGAAAGAGGCCTGCCCTGGGCCATCTGCCGTGGCCTTGGCTGGGGGAATGTCCTAGAATCCTCCCTCCTTCGTCGCTACCAGGTGGCCCCAGCCTTCATCACGCAGTTGCTTGTGCTTATTATTTGGAATCAGACATGAGAAGCCCGGGAGCCACTGTGTGTGGGGCTGGGTAGGGGCAAAGGAGAGAGAAAGAGCCTGGGTGGTGATCGGGAGACCTGGGCCCCTCCCACTGACTTGCTGTGCAGCCTCAGCTCCTGCCTGTGGCCCGCCTTCTGTCCCGCCTCTGTGCCCCCTGTACCTGGAGTCCCTTAGCTCCTCTGGTTTTCTGTTGCTGCCTCTTTGTCTCCTGGTTCCCGTGGTCTGCATGTCTTTCTGTTCAGCCCTGTCCACGGCACTCCACGGCACAGCTAACACTGACAGAGTGCTTCCAGCCCGGCCGCCACGGTGCTGGGTGCGAGCCCTCAGGGCACTAAGCATCTGCTCCTGGAACCTCATTCCTGGTCCTCCATCCAAAGGAAATGGTGCCATTTTTCACAAACCCGAGCTAGAAACATGGGGCCCTACTAGCCTTCTCCATCTCTGTCACCTTCCAGAGCGAGGTCAGACCCCTGAGAGTATCCACTATACCTCCCGCAGATCTCTCCGCGTCTCCACCCCTCTCTGTCCCCCCCCCCCCTCCTCTAGCTGAGGCCGCCATCTTCTCTCTCAGGCCGGTCCATCCTCCCTCTGCTGCCTCCCTGCCTCCA